GAACATTGGAGTCCTCCGTCACTGAAGCAAGCAAGCCTCATGTTAGTTTCAAGCTGCCTGGCTGCCGGCCGCCCTCCTGGCTGTCAGTTAATTTGTATATCTCGCTGATTAGCCAATGGTAAGGGTAGCGGTCATACGCCAATTACCATGTTTCTCTTTTATTAGTGTAGATTCTAGTAGAATGGGATCTGGGGCCTCCTTACTTGCATACAAAACAGAGACAGTACAGTAGCTTTGTTAGAGGATAAAACTCTTATCTATGTGTTCTTGGCAGAAGGGTCATGGGAGTTTACAGATCATTGCAGGAAAGTGGAAATCCTAGAATTTAATTTTTTCACTTTCTTGATAACTGAAGTGCAAGTAACTTAATTTCTTTGAGTTATTTTTCTTGTATTTATTTATTTATAAATCTTAATTGTTGAAAGTATTACATATGTCTCCATGTTTCCCCCATTGACCCCTACAGCCCATCACTGCCACCCACCCCAGGCCTTCACTATCCTATTTGTGTCCATGGCCTATGCATATGTGCATACAGGTTCTTTGGTTGATCACTTCCCACTCACCCACCCATCCACCCACCCTTCCCCACCTTCCCACAAGGCTCCACAGTCTGTTCTATGTTTCTGTGTCTCTGGATCTATTTTGTTCATCAGTTTATTTTGTTACTTAGATTCCACATATGAGTAAGATCATGTGTCTTTCTCTGACTGGCTTATTTCCCTTAGCATAATACTCTCCAGGTCCCTCCATGCTGTCTCAAAGGGTAAGAGATCTGTCCTTTTTCCTGCTGCATAGTAATCTATGGTATAAATGTACCACAGCTTTTTTATTCACTCATCTACTGGACACAAGGGGGTTTCCATATCTTACCTATTATAATTGTGCTGCTGTGAACATAGGGGCACATACATTCGTTCTGATTGGTGTTTCAGGTTTCTTAGGATATATTCCTAGAAGTGGGATTACTGGGTCAAATGGCAGTTTCATATTTAATTTTTTGAGGAAACTCCATATTGTTTTCCATAATGGCTGCACCAGTCTGCATTCCCACCAGCAGCATACAAGGGCTCCCTTTTCTCCACATCCTGACCACCACTTGTCATTTGTTGATTTGTTGATGGTAGCCATTCTGACAAGTGTGAGGTGATATTTCATTGATGTTTAAATTTGCATCTCTCTGATGATCAGTGACTTTCAGCATTTTTTCATGTCTCTGAGCCATCTGAATGTCCACTTTGGAGAGTGTCTACTTAGGTCCTTTGCCCATTTTTCAATTGGATTGTCTTCCTTTTGTTAATTTGTATGAGTTTCTTATATATTTTGGATATTAACCTTTTATCAAATGTATCATTGCCAAATATGTTCTCCCTACAGTGGGCTACCTTTTCATTTTGTTTATGGTTTCTTGTTGCTGTGCAAAAGCTTTTAATTTTGATATTCTCCTTAGTTTTCTTTGCCCTAGGACTGTGGTCGGCAAACTGCGGCTTGCGAGCCACATGCGGCTCTTTGGCCCCTTGAGTGTGGCTCTTCCTAAGCCTTAGGAGTACCCTAATTAAGTT